TGTCCGTGAGTGACAGCTGGGCAGCAGCCGGGGACCCGGGGCGCCCGGGAGGTGCTGGCCTTCGGGGGCAACGGGAGGAACCGCCCTACTTGGGATGACTGTTTGAATCCCCTAGGCCAGTCTTCCAGAGGTTTGGTTCCCCCCCAGCCAGCAGCGTCAACCCCCGGAGCTGGGAGCCGCAGATTCTCAGGCCCAGGAGCGACAGGGACGGGCCATGGTCACCGCCCCGTGACCGAGGCCACTCCCGAGAAGCGGCCCGGGCCGCGGCCGGCGGGTCAGCGTTCAGCAGATCTGCGGCCCTCTGCTCTGTCCCGGGGATCCCCAGAGGGGCCGGGGTCACCAACACCTCAGCGCAGGGCCAGAAACGTTTAAAAGGCGGCCCTTGAAGGCCACACGGGTTCACCAGTCACATAGTTCCTTAGGATTACATTTTATTTTGACTTAATGAGGAGAAACGTTGGATGAATGATCAGGAAGTCAAGTTTTCATCCTGTACCAATTTAGTTTCTTACATTCATCGTGTGAATGTAAAAACAGTAGAATGTGATGAAAAATTATGTTAATAGTATATAGAATGTGAGGTTTTGGTCTATCAGTATTATGAGATATCTATTTATTTCAAAGCTACCTTCTCTGCTGTAAATCTCTACTCAAATTATGTATGTGGATATTATGTACATACACAGATCTGCATATATATATATATATGCATGTGTGTAACTTGCTAGATCAGTTTTTCATTACGTTGAAAGTTTGCTGGGGTACAGAATATTAGCAAACTTAAAATGATCGCATGCACAATTTTAATATTGTGAACATATTTTATAATTATCCTCCAAGTCCTATACTTGAGACACGTATGTGAGCTTTATAAAGAACGAGAAGTTATTTGAGATCTAAACATCACAATCTTATGTACTTCTAAATCATATATCTAAAAATATAAGAATCTGTAATTCAATTACTAAAAGCATATCAAGTTATTACCGAAATTAATTATTCATTTAACTGAACAGTAAATTTGCTAGTTGCCATCAGACAAAAACCAAGGCATATTTTTAAATCTGTGTCAGTCTGTATGTGTTTAGCTTATAGGACCAGTCTTTCACGGAAACGTAACATTTATCCTAATGGTATATCAGAAGCGATCTATTTCAAAGCTGTGGTTTCTGCTCTAAAATCTGTACATATCAATGACACACACGGGCAGAGGGAGTGAGAGAGAACCGCCTGATAGCAGCCTGCGTTCTGTCGACAGGTGCAAAGACTCTGCAGGGTTGGTGATATTTAAATCTACCACATTCACAATTTTACATAGTAAAGTAACTATAGTCATTTCCACTTTCTTTCTTTGGATACATATGTTAAGTTTCTAACGAACAAAGTTTCAGTATTTCCTAACGAATAAATACCATTTCAGCCCACGCCTGCAGACAGCCGGAAACGCCAGCCCACACGGACGTGCGCGCGATCGACCTGCCTGCCTTCGGCTACACCTTGGTGTACACCTGCCATCCGGGGTTCTTCCTGGCAGGTGGATCTGAGCACAGGACGTGCAAAGCAGATATGAAGTGGACAGGAAAACCCCCTGTCTGTAAAAGTAAGTCGCCGTGAGGGAGTGAAAACGCGCTCCCACCCAGCAAAGACGCACGCAAACTGCCCATCAGGCGAGTCTCCCCCTGTCGGACCCATAAGTAAACAGCCTCGTGGAGTGGTGTCAGTCACCCCGACTCTACCCGTGCTTGCCGTGTGTGAGCCGTGTGTGAGCTGTGTGTGAGCGTGTGCAGGAAGTGTTCGGTACAGTAGAGGCACAGGCCCGGGGGACATGTGGATTTTATTATTCGCTAATCACAGTTTCAGCCAAGAAGAAAAGCTGTTTGGCTGAAGAAAAGCATTATGAGTTAGTTAAAAGAAAAATGACACTCAATACAATTTTGGAAAATGTATCTTTTTTATGAAAATGGGCAAATATCACCAAGTACTGGTGCATATTAAATGAAACTGATTTTTAAGGCCACAGGCTGTTTGGTGGTGGGATGTAAGCTTACGTGTTCCTGACATAGGTTCTACTTTTTAAAATTACAAAAGCAATTGATGTGGAAATGATATACTAATTACTCACAAATCCGTGTATTCACACATGGGAGTGATAACTCTGGGTCAGGTTCCATGACAGCTAACCTTCCAGCTTCCCCACCAAACGCAGATTCCATGCTAATTGAGTGCTGAACACCGCAGATCCAGACTACGGAGTGTAAGAGAATCAGTTTCGGTTTCCTGGTGTAGTCACAGTTCTCGAGTTAGGAATTTCTAAGACGTTTATGTTTCCCTTGCCCTTTTCTATTAGGAATAGAAGCAAACAGACTTTAAAAAAAAAAAAAAAGATAATTTATAGTTTAATATAAAACTAGAAAAGCTAAGAGATTACGCGTTAAATCTAACTTGGTAGACCCAACCAAACATCTGCAGGGAGCTGATTTGGTGTTATTCCGTATTAACCTGTGTGCTTGCTGATGTGGGTGGGGACTCGGGAAATCGAGGTTCTAAAACCTTAGCTATTTTGCATAGCACCTATCACTTGGGGGCACCCCATCCCAAACGGGAGTCCGAAAGTGGACAGAAACCACCCTCATTTGCAAGGCTCTCTGTTGTAGCACACCTCGGGGACACACACACACGTCACACCGAGTCTCTCCATGAAACTCAGCTCTCCCACAGACACCAAGGCTGTTCTGCTGTGAATATACGGGTTTAAGTGGACACGTCCGAGATGCTCCTATTTCGCACATGCAGGAAATCTGCAGAAAGGAAAACTGCTTCAATCTGACATTTTTTCAAACTTATTCAAAAAGAAATGATTTTGAAGTTGATAATTTGTCTTTTTACTTGTAGGTAAAGGAGTGAGAGAAGTTAATGAAACAGTTACTAAAACTCCAGGTTTGTATACCAGCACAGTCATAGATTTAAACCCAATTCAGTGATTTGTTCTTTGCTCTGCTCTACAGTGCAACAGATTTGACGTGCAAACTCCTGACTCCTTTAGTCCATGACAAGCTAATGCCTCAGTTACCGAAAACACCAGGCCCCGGGGGGAGTTCTGTTTCTTTCCTATCAGTGGTTTGTAAGTGGGGTACCGATATTTAAAAGGATGACCTTGGCATAATCACACACCGTTTCGTTCAGAGGTGCCGCAGGCGTTTCGCAGGCAGAACGGACACACAGCGTTGCTCACAGACTGTGGTATAATGGAGAGCCTTATAAAGAGGGTTGCCATCCTTTCTCCAGCCGAGCAATCGAACATTGTGACCGAATGAGGCATCGTGACAGCCCAGCTGTCAGGGTGAGCGTGTCCTCCCGGGCACCTCGGGGACCCAGGCGTCCCTGCCTCCTGCGGTGTGAAGTCGCTCTCTGTCGTAGGTGGCCAGGCGCATGATCTAGCAAGTCCGAGGCAGGCCAGTTCCCCGAGGAGGGTGTCCGTCATTCCCGAGCAGCCACATGTCACATCTATGTGACACGCGCGGGGAACACCTGCACAAGGCAGTGTACCCCCAAAGTATCATTAAGTCGGGCTTTTTAACGGAAATGGGAAGCCCGTACGCAGAGATGCGGCCGCTTCCCCGAGTCCCCCTCATCAGGTTTTAGCGCTGGTGTCTTAGACCCACAGCTCCGTGCTCGAGTCACATGTGGAGTCTCTGTAATGCCATCGTAAGTCACGTGCTGTGTTACACGTTGAATTCTCAGACGGGGCGAAATGTCACGATTACAGAAATTACTCCGGTGTGTGCCGTGAATATAAAAACGACTTTTCTTTTAAACCATCCTGGACTGTTGGAAGCAGGTGTCATTTACAAGCCAAATACGGACGCCGGTCCCCTCGCCGGGTGCACCGCTGCCGTGTCGGGGGTTCCTCTGCTTTCCTCCGCTGGCTTTTTGTTTAAGTCGTCGGAGTACTGCCCCAGCTCACCGCGTCCCCTCCCACGGGGACACACACTGCCAAGCGCCAGCCGCGTGTCAGGGGACCAAGACGATCTCCTCGCACATTCTGGAGACAGAGCGGCCGCTTCTCAGACGCGGGCTTTGCCACCGCCCTGGCGTGCCGCCCGCGTGCGGGGCAGATGGCGTGACGGCCCAGAGAGCCCGCTCCAGGCGGCGTTGCCGTAACGTCTGCCATTCTAGTGAAGCGAAGCGAGTCGCTCGGGGCTCGCTGATTAAAACCCGGCCCCGGGAAGCTGCCGGGAGGCGGGAGGAAGTGCGCGATGCCGGTTATCCATACGCCAGCGTCTCAGCTGCCTGCGTTGCTGTCTCCGTTCTGACCGAATCTCATGTTTTCCAGTTGTTAGTATTAGGAAGTCAGTTCCCCTCCCAGCCGGGCAGGTGATCCATCCCGCTCTGGTTTCACTCTGTCGCTGGGGCGCGTTATAGGTGTGGCCCGTCCGGGAAGACAGGAAAAGGGCCCGCGGGACACCCGGAAAGGGAAGCATGGACATGGGCACAGCATCTTAGTGTCCTGGTCACGCGTCCCCAGAAGTGGGCTTGCTGAAAACGCCGTTCAGGGAGAAGGGGACCTTCACTTCTGCCTCCGAGTGCAGCGGGGTCCCGGCCCCGTCTGCTCGCAGGGGGCTCGTCCGCCAGGCCCCTCCCAAGGCGGGGGCCACGGAGACCGCGGCGGCGTCCACACCGCACGCACCCCCTGCCCTGCGGACACGTCCGTGTTACAAACGGCAAAATATCCTACGATGTATTTGCGGAAACAGGAGAAAATAAGGTTGATTTTCCCATAACCAGGAAAACCAGAGAGACTAGGTCGGGAACCGGCGCCTGGGCCGGTGCGGCAGGGTCCTCCTCGAGCACGCGCGGTCCGCGGTCCCGGGGCGGCGGGGGCT